CCTCCCCCCTCTCCCTCTCTCTCTCTCTCTCTTTCTCTCTCCCTCCCTCTCTCCCCCTTTCCCTCCCCCTCTCTCTTTCTCTCTCTCTGTCCCTCTCCCCCCTCTCTCTCTCAAATTATACAAAGTCTCTCCCTCTCTCTTTCTCTCTCTCTCTCTATCTATCTCTCTCTCTCTCTCTCTCTCTCTTTCTCTTTCCCCCCTCTCTCTCTCACCCTCCCCCTCTTGCTCCCCTCCTTGGCACTCACAGTCTCGTTATTCCATCTCCCCACCAACAGGTGCTGTGCTCAGCGCTATGGCCCGAGGGAACATAACTCTGGCAGACTTTGGCGTCAAGGGCACGCAACTCAAGCTCACCCTCACACTGGACCACAAGCAGAAAGTTGTCTTCAAGCCTGCCTGGTAAGTGGGTTTTTTAAAGCCTCAACGAGAGTTTTACCAAAGATTCTCTACTAGGGGGAGAGGGGGAGAGAGAGAGAGAGAGAGAGAGAGAGAGAGAGAGAGAGAGAGAGAGAGAGAGAGAGAGAGGGGGGGGGGCAACATAGAGGGAACTGCTGCTTTTTCTTTCCTCGTCCTTACTACTATCGTCATTTTCTTCTACTTCTTTTGTATGTTTATCACTCTCTTGTGTACCGCTGTTTCCGGGGTGCCTTGATAATCGAAGCAGACTTTGTGCTGTTGAAGCTAGAGAGGTGAGCAGAGTAAGCCTGATTCCCCATTTGGACTTCTCTGTTGACATCCACCCCTTGGCCCTCATATGACCTAATTATACAGTTGCGAGCGTCGTAAAACCTTACTAAAACTAACACATATAATTATACCATTTGTTGAGTGGGTGGTTGGTGAGTGCTCTGGTCTGGTTTGCTTCTTCTTTCCTATCAAACATCTATCGTCTTTATCTCCCCTTTCTTCTTTTTTATGTTTGTTACTCTCTTGTAACACCTCCAATCTTCTGGCGCTCATATGACCTTACGCAGTTGCGAACGCCGTAAAACCTCTACTAAAACTGAAAACTGCCTGGTAAGTGTTTTTTAGCCTCAATGAGAGTTTTACCTAAGATTTTCTACTCTAGTAGAGAATCTTTGTTTTTACGGCTCCTAAAATAAAAATAGGTCATTAGTAAGACTTTTACAGCTCTTGCAACACAAATAGGTCATCAGTAAAAGTTTTACAGCTCTCGCTAGACAAATATGTCAGTAGTTTATTAAAAATGTCCGTTTCCTGCTAGACAAATCGGCCATTTGTAAGAGTGTTACGGCTCTTGCAAGACAAGTGAAGGTGCTGACAAGATGAGTTACTTCTCGGAAATGAGCCCTATGGAAATAGGTACGTCACACGCTTATAGGTTACGATTTTACAATTTATAAGTACGAAATAACAAAAGGCATGTTATACTTAAAGAAATATGGCATATATTTTTAAAAATCTACAAATTGGACCTTGATGTCGATTTTTTACCAATATCTTCATTTGTGGATTCGAGAAGCAACTCATTTTGTTAACCGCCTCACATATGTTAGTAAGAGTTTAACGGTTCTTGCAATACAAATTTGTCGTTTATATAAATGACGAAGACTAGAGGTATTTCTAGCGGGTAACATACAATTAAAAGTAGGAGGAGATCTAATGATAATATAATATGTATGATAGGTAAAAATGAGCAAAACCACACCAGAGCACCTGCCAACCATCGACTGGTAGGCGTTCGTTCACCAAGATTTGAAGGTACCGGTAGATTGCTTTGACTTTTACTTTGATTTACAGTAAAAGATTTTAAAAATCTCACTACCTGCGCCTGTGGTGTAGCAATAAGGCGGTAATTGTTATTGTTGTCATTGTGTAGGTTTGAACACCCTTTCAACACTATAAGCGTAGTTAACCCTATCCGTACGTCGTGTTTTACTGTCGTATTCATACGACCCTGGGAACTCTGTGCCACCTCTTTCCAAAGAGGAAATTTACTTGTTAATCCGATCCGTACGCTTTTCATAGCTGTCTGTCAAAATGATTTTTGGAGAAATACTTAAAGTTTCAGTATTCTAAAATGTGAAGAATACAACCCCGGGGTTACGATATCACCCCAGGGCGTACGGATAGGGTTAAGAGGCGGACCTCCAAAATTTCACAGCCGTTTCCAACAGGACTGAGGCAAATGCATCATGTCTTTCCCTGCTAGAGGTTGAGCTCCACAGTTTGGTGGTCGACCTCTTTGCACTGACATTTTGGTAGTTATATAAGTTGGAAACATCACATAATAATATGTTCGTGTGGGTGGTTGCTGGGTGCTCTGGTGTGGCTTGCTTCTTCTTTTCTGTCAAACATCTATCGTCTATATCTCCCCTCCTTCTTTTTTGTGTTTGTTACTCTCTTGTAACACCTCCAGTCTTCGGCACTTATATGACCTTATTGTGTTGCAAGTGCCGTAAAACTCTTTCTAAAACATATGTTCATAATAACTGTGTGTGTGGCGTCGGTAGTCGGACCTGTAATTGTGGGATTTCGGGGTTTGGGGCTGAGCTGACAGCTCGAGCCGACATTGTGTCCTTGGGAAAGGCATCTTACACAAATTTCCCAATTGGCTCGGTCCTTTCGTTATTTAACTTGGAGGTCCCACCTCTGGGTTGCACAAGGGGGCTATCACGATAAAAGCTGTTAAAAGTTTTTAGATCCTTATTCAGTCGCTTTAAAGAGTTTTCTCTATAACCAAACAAATATATATACACACCAATGATACCAAACTTCTCCTATAGGTAGGGCAACAGGAAGGAAACCCCCCGAAATCTGGCGTAGCCCGCTTGTCTTTAAAAGCGACCAAATCACCTAATAGCGTTGATAGAGGATATAAACTATACTATTTCACCATATTTCACATTGTGAGTTGTCTCCCCCGCAGGTACGGCAGAGATGACATCATCACGGGCACACCGTACTCTGGCAGGGACAGACACAACGCAGAGATTGCGGCGTTTCATTTAGGCCGGTGAGTTGGTGTTTAGACAACTACACAGTACCCTGCTTAAACTTAAACCAAATGTGTCACTACGCTGTGGAATCAGGCGCTCCTCAGTATTTGGGACATATGGAGTTACTGGTATCATCTTAAAGCCTGTTCATTTGCCTTGATTTGAATGGAAAAAAGTATCTTTCTATCTTGAATAGAAGTCGAGACTGAAGGAGGTGGGGGCCACCGGGTTCAGAGGTAAAATTAGCGAGAAAATGGCTGCCCAAGTTTGGTGACTTCCACAGCTTGAGAGTCCATGAAAACCTAAAATTCACAGTTTAATCTACGTTTTTCTGTAAAATCCTTCCAGAAATCTGTTTTTAAATTGACATAAAAGATGTTGAACCAGTAATTTAAAAAATTCAATAAAAATGGCCAAGCCAGCAGAAAAATGCAGGTTTCTTCAATTTCACTATTTTGACAAGCACCTGATTTCACAACTAACGATGCCTCTCAAATTTGTTTAATTTGAAAACAGTATTTAAGCGAAAGAAAATAAAGTACCCAACTTTTTTTTTGTCTTTAACTACAGCGGTCCCTCAAAAGTGAAAACACAGACGTAGAAAAATTTGTCAGTCCTGTTTGAAGGGGACGGTCTACCACAGGACCCGTCTGATAGCTTTTCCACTAAAGAGTCTTTTAGAATCAACAACCTCAACCCTTGTGGCGTCGGTCGCCCATTGGTTAGGCTACCGGACTTGTAATCGTGAGGTTGCGGGTTCGGGGGCTCGAGCCGCGGGCCCGACGTTGTGTCCTTGGGAAAGGCACTTTGCACGAATTTTCCACACTTCACCCAGGTGTGAATGGGTACCTGGCCATAGACAGCGAAAGATCTTGTCTGTGTGTTGGTCTTTTAGCGCCTATAATTGACCGCCTGCACTGTATGCTTCCCAGGGAGTTGAGGTTGTTTCAGAATACTCTCAGGTCTGCTAGGGTAATAGTATAGATTTGCGTTATACAAATGCTATCTATTATCTATTATTATTATTATTATTATTATTAACATTTCATCGGGTCAGGGTTAGGTGATGGACTAGTAGATTGCCAAGTGGAACAATAAATAAATTAATAAATAAACAAATACAAAAATAAATAGGATACAATGTAAATAAAATAAATAAATTAGGAATAATAAATATGAATACGATTAAATACGAATGAATAAACAAGATGCAATAATAAAATAGGAGAAAAAAAATAAACAAGATGCAATAATAAAATAGGAGAAATAAAACCTTGTATCAGTTGTGTTGATGAGGACTACCAAGTGTTGGGTACTACTTTGTTTTACATTTAATATAGATAAAAAGCATTATAAACGACCCATCACACCCCCTTTCCACGCAAATTGTCAGATATGTACCTCTAAAAACAAAGAAAGAAAGATATAAAAAAAGTTTTTTACCATCTAGCATCAGGCTATTGTCAGAATAAGCATAGATGTGTATTGCTCTTTAGAGTATGTATCTATATAACTCCAAAGGTCTTGTAATTAAATTCCTGCATGTGGTTGAATGATGCATCTGATGTGAAATGTACATTTTGTCAGCTTTACTTCTCTTTTCATAATATTGAAATTTAATGAGAGTAATATATAATCTAGATTTTGATATTTACTTGCATGTGTTTTTACGGTCCTGTACAGCCAAGAAAAATTTCCCTCTGGGATAATAAAGTATTATCTTATCTTGTCTTATTTCAGTATCCTTGAGCTGAGGAGAACTCCGCTAGCCATCGGGAGACGCGTGGACATTCACCGAGACATAAAACCTGTGGCTACTGAAAGGCTGCTCAATACGTTCTTTGAAAAAGGTATTTTCAACCAGTTTTTTTTTTTAATTTCTTTTTCTTTTTTTTCCTTTAAATTTGGTTGTTAATTTCTTCCTCCCTCTCTTTCTCTTTCTCCTTTCTCCTGCTCTCTCCCCTCTCCCTCTTTCGTCTCAACCCCCCCCCCC